ATAGTACAAGTCTCAGACTTTTTGCTTTTACTGAACAGATTAAATATGCTTCTAATCTGACTGCTCTGGATTACTAGTTTTGGTTGTAACCAGCCAACTATATTCTTTTTCAGTTAAATCACAAAAGTTTCAAAGAGAAACTATGCCTCGTCAATTCAGCACTGCTTAGAGAGCATGGTCATGGTAAACCGGAAGAAAAGCAAAAAGCCCACTATAGAGTACACATTACTCCCTTGCACTTATTACTAAGCAATTGTCGTGGGTTAGGCCGCTCCAGCAACCGAACCCCCTCACACAGCCGGTCACTCACCCTCCCCCACCCCCAGGAATGAGGGAGAGAATTAAAGGAGAAACAGGAAACCCGTGGGTTGAGATAAGAACAATTTAATACAGATGATTTAATACACAGTGCAGATGCTCACCACCCCCTCATATGCGAAGCCTGTCTTGTCCCGAAGCTGCAATCCCAGACGAACGCAAGGCCCCGAAATAGAGAGAGGCAGAGAGAGAGAGAGTACTCCGAGAGTGGGAGTACTGGGAGAGAGAGAAAAAAAAGGCAATAGAGCAAAAGCGCAGCAAGCGCGAAAGAGCAAAAGCAGCGAAAGAGCCAAAGCGCAAAAGCCCTTCTGTCCGGCTGCCCCTCACCTTTATACTGGGCATGACGCTGCATGATATGGAATACTAATTGGCCAGTTTGGCCCTCAATCTTAAATTCCACCACAAATCACAAGGGGAATCATGTCCCCCTTGTCCCGGCTATGCTCCCCCCTTATCCCTCCGTGCTTCTGCACTCCGGCACACTGAAAAGTCCTTGGAGTCTCAAACATCAACTTGCTATCAACATTCTTCTCAGAGTGAGCCTCTGAGTAAAACCAAAACACAGAGCTCTTCTAGCTGCTAAAAAGAAGAGCCAACACTGTCCCAGCTAAAACCAGGACAGCAATGCATCAAAAAGAAAGGTGCTGTCTTCTTCAGACCTCGGACTTCCACTGTACGGAAGTATTTGCAAACACAGAATCGTCACCTCTGCTACTCAAGGACACGCAGCTCAGGCGAGCAGCACAGAGGGTGAGGGGAAAGATGGCGATTTACTCCACAGGAATTACCCTGCCCTGCCAAAAGCAGCGCAACTCTTGAGAGTTCTGCAGGCAGCAGCACGCAGGGTGCCGGCAGACGCCACACGAGAGAGGTAGACAGGAAGCGTTTCCTAATGCTGTCTCAAGATCTCTCGAGTAGCATGATAACTGTTAGAAATTCAGCACTCATACAATTGACATGTACACCTTGTAGGGCAAAGGGAAACTTGAAAAAGGTTTTGAGATGAAAATTATTTCTGAAAACTCAAAAAGGATGTAGTGCTTTATTTGGAAAAAAAAAAAAGTATCTTCTGGCAGCACATTTAGATCTTGCAGAACTTTAATTTCATATGTTCTGCTTCTGGGTGGTCAAAGTATGCTTTTACTAAAAAAATTTTCCTCTTGGACCTTCGTTACATACTATTTTTTTGGTTCTACACAGTGTTTCAATTTAAAATTGATTCTCACAAGTGGGATTAGTGTTTTTAATCAAATTCAGCATACAGCTGGTAAATTGGGGACGGGGGCTGTAGTTTTCCTTAAGTATGTTTATGTAGAAATAATTTCACATGGAGGAAAATCATTAGGAATAACGAAAGGGAACAACTTGAAAGGCTTTAGTAGGCCAGTAGAACGGAGGAGCAAAACTGTAATTACTTTTAAGATGGAGGTGTTGCACTTTAGGATTGTGAGAGCTCAGATCAGGAAGGTCTCATACGACATGGCTGGCTGCACCGACTCAAGGGGTCTTCCACTGTAGTAAATACACATCATATTTTGTGTGTGTGCAGCAGCATACAGACTAGAAATTCTTCCTAAAAAAGTAACGTTAAATTTGAAAAGGTTTAAGCGATGATCTGCCAGATCTATAACACTCTACCCCAAACAGGTGGGACACTTACCGAAAAATCTGACTGGAAGTTACCATTGTAACACAAAAGACACAAACGAAGTCAGACAACGCAAAGAGAACTTTTTTTTTTTCAGTAAAATATGAGTTGCTACCAAAACTCTAGGCTACAAACCACCACAGAGGTTTTATCTGTGCACAAGAAACAACCCTCCACACCCTTACGCTCTTGAAGGCAGGCTCCACTTTGGAATGAAAAACCATGGAAAACAGTTTGCTTTAAGACTTGAGCTAAACATGCAGTTTTAGACAGGTTCTTACATTTTGGCTGAGACCCACGCTGCTGCAGAGAACACTGTATCTTTTTTTGTTTGTTCAGGTGAACTTGATGTTGAGGTTGTTTCCCGTTACCTCCAGAGAATGAAGAGAGTTTACCCAGCAGTTGAAGGTCGGATAAAGTTTTCTTCTGGAAGTCTTACTGAAGGAAGTCTTACCCTGATTTCTGTATTGTTCACTGTAACATTCTTGCACACTTGATTTTTCGCTCACTATGTTTTCATGTAGAGGAAAACAGGAGGACAGATGACACTGAGAAAAGGAATAGAGAACTTTTCTCTTTCTCCTTAAAATGAATGAGCATTTAGGTTTCTGCATGTCAACAGTAAAGAGCACAAGAAATTGTCTTTAATCTGGTAGAGTTGTTGAAGCATGTGGTGCAGAATGAGTGGGCAGAATTCGTGACTTCTCTTAGTTTGAGTCAGCAGGTACAAACAAACTTGCATAACTCACAATTCAATTTGATGTTTCAAGAAGCAAAGTATCAGTGAATACTAATGCTCTATCATAAAGCAACTACTATCCGAAATGGGATATTTTTAACTTGACAAATTCTTTTAGCTGCTTTAAGTAGTAAGCTGATTAAGAATCTGATTCCATTAATGTAAACAAGCTTCTGGAAATGAATTTATTATAGGTGTATATACCTTCCTTTGGTCTCCACTCAGGGTTAAAGCATTCATTCCAATAATTCTACTTTCCTTCCAGTCATATTTATTGTACCTTCACCAATGCGTGAAAGAGCTGGATTAAATTCAGTGTCATTAAAAGCCTGAGGTCTATTTACATGCAATTAAAAAGTTTTTCCATTTTACTTTTGAAGATGCAGCATCTCACTTATGTTTTCTATTAATAAAGAACACAATGAAAGCTTGATTTGATTTTGATTGATTTTAACAAATTGAGTATATATACTTTACTATTTAATATGACCAGTTTGGGGACTATGGCTAGAGTGAGAACACAATCTATGATTATGTTTCATATAAATACGCTCAATTTTACACCTTTTTCCAAAGACCAAAGCACAGGACTCCTGACCATTACTCTGCCTCAGCGATGTTCAGAGACACGTGTTGACTCCTGCAGCACTGTAGCAACCTTTGGAAGTTGCCCAGTAATGGGGCTTTTTACAGCATAACCTGGCTTTATCATAATTGTGATCATAACACAGAAGTCTGTCTCCTCTATGGGAAGGCTGTGTTTGAAAAACACACAGTTGTGAGAGGCTAATGAGTATAAAATCAGACATTGGATTAAATGCTAACTGTACATTTCTGACACTTTATCAAGAAGTGATTGCTTATAACGAGTGCAAATGATAATTATTTTTCTAAGATCATTCACATTTGGAACTGTGTCATCAACATGCTTCCATGTTGTTTACTGCTGTATTAAACTGATTCTCAGTGTTTTGAATAAATCTGCTTTGTTTTTCTGGAAAGCACACTCACTCTTTTTCAGACTCGAGCTACTCGCCTCTTAAACTCACTGCACCTGCAGATTTCAAGGAGAAGGCGCCTTAAGATAAACATGCAGTATGCTTAAATTTCAAGACCTCAATAGTTTCCACAGAAATTCCAGGGTTGCGCATGAAAAGATATGGACTCAACAGCTGCATTAGGTAAGTTGCATTAGAACAGGGAGACAAACAACAAGTGACCTTGACACGCTGCGAGTTATGGCATTGATGATTTGTCAATACCAGCCCCTAAAGTTATTAATTTACAGAGTGGTCTTTCCCAAATCAATGTAAAACCAACAACAGGGAGTGCACTTACGGACTGAGTGCAGGACACTTACGGCGTGTACCTGCATGCCAATTTTTAAAGAGTTATAAAACTCCTCTGGCATACCAAGAGAGAATTAACACTTTTCCTTCTTTGGACAAACAGAAGGAAAAGGTATGCAGAAGTAATACATATAGATAATGCAAATTGTATTGACAAAGAACACTAATACTGCATTAAATTGGTTTGTTTGTAAAAGGAGAAAACAGGTGGTGTTTGGAAAAAAAAATAATCGAGGAATGCCTATTAAAATATCTCTGTATTATTCTGTGAGTAAAACTTGTTAAAAATCCACACATGAAAGTCCTTTTCAAAGTCTCTTTTATAAAGGCTGGGCCAACAAATTAAGATTTACAGGAAAAATCTTCCACACATTTTTATACTAATAAATTTTTAGAAAACGCTACGAACAGACTCAAATCCTCTTTTCTAAGCCTGTAAAGAGGATGTCAGAAAAAAGCCCGACAAACCCAGATAAGAAACTGCAGAAAAATAAAGGCTAAGGTAAAAGTCAAAACCACTTTCCACACCCATTATTATCTTAAGAGTGCTTTAGATTTGAAGGCCAGATGTTAAATAAACTAAATTGCACACATGATTTTCCATGCTCATGGAAAACACGAAGGCTGAAGGTAGTTCTGAGATTATTTGTACGCAAGATTCAATCATGTAATTTTGTTTAAAAAAAAAAAATCAGTAAGATTCGTGAAGACAGTTAAAAATAACTTCATTTGAGCATTCTACAGCTTCTTCCAAACATTTTTTCTTCACATCCTTTAAGGAAGACAACCATAATTGCTCTTTTAGCAAAGCATATGTTTGCTGGTCTCCCAGCTGTCTTATTTTGTGTTATCCTGTAATTTCACACACAGAGATTTCAGGGAAATTAATTTGACTTTTACTGATAATAGCTAAAACAAATTTTAAATAAAAAGTACAGATATATTATTTACTTGTAATGGGTATTAAATTTTAATGTCTTTATTGCATAAAGAGATTTTTTTAGAACTTAAATTTTATGTTATTTACAAGAAAATATACAATGCAAGGTTAAAACGTCACATGTCCATTACAGTAGTTCACAGCAGATGTTTCTACTGGGTGTCCAGCAAGTTCCTGCATTCACATCCAGCACGACACGGAGCTAGCTTCCTTTGGACCCTGTCAAACAGTAATGGAGAGAAAAACAGACTTAAGTATGAAAATGTGTATTTACATATAAATGACTGAACTGCGCTGCAATGATTAATGGCATTTGGAAACACCCACTAGAAACCAGAGTTAGGAGAAAGGAAGGCTACTCCTTCCAGGTTTTTAAAATTATTTCTCAAAATAGGTATTTTCTTCTTTCTCTGGAAGTTCTCACCTCCCCCATTCCTAACTGCTAAATATAATTTTCTTAACACAGCAGTTTTCTGCTCTGGAAATGGCACTGGCATGTTATTTTTTTCAACTAGATTTCTTTTCTTCCTCTGCTAGGAATGCTGCCCGTCTTGGCTGTCTCTTTTCCTTCTGTCGTGTCCAACAGACTCCCAAGGACTGGCGGTACACTGTGTCAAAGGCAAAACCTCATACATTAGGTGTTTTTAAGCTCTCATCCTTAGAACTTGTTCACTTATGCATGCTGCCATTACACACAGTGTATCTGAAGAAATCCAGTATACATCTGCATTGGTATGTGTAGCAGGATATACCTTCGAGATATCAGATCTTAAGAGCAGAAAGCAAACTGACATCTCCACTAACTTTTGAAGATCTTCCCATTTCTCCCATTGCTGTTCCCTCTGCCGAAAGAGCAGTGCTCAAAAGAAAATTTCCAGGATGCTCAGTTTTCCCTTTAAATGCTGACTGACCTAAAATATTTTTCTTGTAACTACAAACACGCTTCGGTATCAAGCAACTCAAAAAGGACCAGTCTGTGTTCAACAGAGAGAACAGTCACTGGAGTGATTCCCCTCCTGCAATATAACTGATAACTAAGTAAGAAGCAGTCATTACTTTTACACTTGCCCATTACAGTTGTTTGGAGGAGACAGCTCTTTTCCCAAATGGCTTCACAGTCAGTTTGCAGTGATTTGGGGGAATTGTTTTTTTCATTTATTTAGGGCTGCAGATGAAAACCACTAGCCTCTGCCCATACCCTCTCCACCTTGCATTTCTCTTCTCATAGTGATCCCTTCACTAGGACCAAAGGTAGCATTAGCAGTCCCTCCTGAGCAGGTGGTTTTCTGAAACACTACAGAGCAGTCAGGCAGTTATCACAGTTAGACAGAACAAAAGGATGGATTAAGAAGTTGTAAAGCCGTCATCTTCATTTAATTTAAATAATCTTGATTTGTTTTCACCCCATTAAATATACACAGTTTTGGAATCACAGCATGGTTGAGGTTGGAAGGTGTCGCTGGAGGTCACCTGGTCCAAACCTCAAGCAGGGCCACCTAGACCTGGCTGCCCAGGACCACGCCCACATGGCATCTCAATATCTCAGTATATTCACCTTCTTTGCAGCAAGGGCACATTACTGGCTCATGGTCAAGGTGGTGCCCACCAGGACTCCCAGGTCCTGTTCTACCAAGCTGCTTTCCAGCTGGGCAGCCCTCTGCATATACTGGTGCCCGGAGTTGTTCCTTCCCAGGAGCAGGACTTTGTCAAATTTTATGAAGTTCCTGTCAGCTCATTTCTCCAGCCTGTTGAGGTCCCTCTGGATGGCAGCATAATCCTCTGGTGTATCTTGCAGTTTTGTGTCAGCAGCAGCCTTGCGCTCTGCCCCATCATCCAGATCATTAATGAAGACGTTAAACAGGATTGGACCCAAAATTGACCCCCAGCATACCTCCCTAGTTACTGGCCTCCAACTAGACTTCATTCCACTGATCACCACCCTCTGGGCCTGACCAGTGCTTTAAAGACTATTTGAATGCTTAACACACAAAGCCTTTTTTTTTTTCCTCAGCATCAACCAAAGAAAGACCGATGTTCCTATATATGTGTTACTACTGCTGAGATACAAAAACAGCGCAGCGGAGTAAAACAGCAGGGCTAAGTCAGGTTGTCTTTGCAGCACACAAGTCTCCAGGCTACTTCCTTATTCCCTTGGTTGGCTGGGTCTTTTGTTTGTTTTTAACTTGTTTGAACACTGCCGTGAGGAGGTCAGCTACAGAGCTGGTGCACAGAGTAGGTTAGACTTGCTATGCTGGTCTTATTTCAGTGAAAACAACGGAAGGTGCCCTAGCTTGTTCTGACATCTACCATTTCTGTTTATCACACGAAACAAATCACTGCTGGCACTTCACGGTTCTCAGACACAGGGCTCATGCAACGAGTGAGGTGGGGTTTTGTTTGTTTGGGGTTTTTTTTGGTGGTGGTGGTGGTTTTGGGTTTTGTTTTTTTTTATATCCAGTTAACTAGCTAATATCTCCTCCTTTCCATGAAGGCCAAACTCTAAAATTACTACGTAAAACTGTGCAGGTTTTATATACATAAATACAAATATCAGATGCATCACAAACCTAACGATATGCATTTATACAGCATTTTGTGTTGTGCGAATTCTTTATTTGGATAGTTGGGAGTTAACATCCAAGAGACCAAACTAGAGGTAAGAAATCTTACTGCCAAATATCCTGAAGATCAATGTTGAATCTCAACCTGAGCTCTGCATGCAGAATTCACTTCCTAAATCAGGAAATGCATAAACTAGAGTGGAGACAAGCAATCAAAAAGAAAGGCACAGAGGTCCTGACCGCTGATTGCTCTGTCCAGTTCTACTGAAAGGCAGCCCAGACTTGCTGTATGCTACACAAATGGGCGTAAACTAATTTGGAAAGAGCTAATTAACAAAAATGTAAATAATCCACATGTCGATGATTTCAACACATTAGTAAAATACAGATTTTCCCCAAAATTTCAAATGAGTATTACAAGGGAACAACAGCAAAAATGCACCAATGACCAGACTCAGCAGCAGCTTCAGAAATTCTGCAGCTCCCGAACAGAGTTAGCACATACCTTACTCAGCTCTGGAAAGAGTTCTTGAATCCCAATGTCCAGCAGAACGTAAGTTAACTAAAAGAAAATACAGAAAACTAAGAACACTCCAAGGCAACACTAATTTTAATTTTAATGCTGAATTAGAGCTCACTCCTCTGCTATAGCCATACATTCACTTCAGGAAATCCTGTGCCAAAAAGCAAGTTTCTCACGTGTTGCAGGTTACCTGTTTGTTGAGCACTGGTTGCTGCATTCCGTCGAACAGAAGCCTGATGCCTTCGTATTTAGCCTCTTCCCCAATGCACTTGCCTATTAAATCTAGACCAGATACCAACAACAAATACACAAGTCATTACAAAGCATTGCAAAATAGCTGCACAATACAGTTACAGAACTCTAGTAATTAAAAAAAAAAGTTTAAGTTAAAGAAAGTTCATATTTTATCCAGCTGAAGTGGTAAATGGAAAACAAACACTCCTTTGGTTCCTCCTTTTTACCTCCCTTTCCTTCAGGGCTGCACACCTAATTAATTACTACGCTTTTTATAATATCAATGTATTGTCCTAACGCATTGTTTGATAAACCACAAGCTGAAATGTTCTAATTACTTTCTAAATAACCTAGTAAATGGGCCCCTCTTCCCTAGTTTATACAGTGTAAGGAGAGCTCAGATTTACCTTCTGGCTTCATGGTGTGCCTTTTTTAACCTAGATTTCATCCAAATAAAATACAAACCATAGGAGCATTCTAAAGATGAAGAAATTAAAGCATTAAGTGCATTTTTAAAGCCCTTTATTTCCATTGTGTCTTTATTAATCACTATGCTACAGCCTTAGTCAGCAACACTTAAGGGACAATACTGAGCTCCTGGGTTGTCACACCTAGAATTGTAGCCAACTCAAATCTCAGCAGTGTTAGGTATTATTTGATTTGAAAAGCTAACCTGACTGTATTTGGGTTATGTATCTGCTGGAACAATTAACCATTCTTTATAATTAGAGTCATGTAATACAGAACCTGGAATGTATCTCATCATTTCTTCAAAAGTCTGCTTTGCTCGCTTCTGTTTGTCCTGCAGAGAACGAGGTTCGGTATTCTCACAGAACACGGCATCTGCAGTGAAGAGACATTGGGAAAAGAAGTCTTTAGGCAGCTATGCATCACTGACATATAAAACGTGTCTGAGATTATGGCTTCGAAGTTGAGCTGCTTTTCTGTATCATCTTGACCGGAAGGGAATTGTAGCCTTGCCAAATAACAGTCTTTTGCTTACATTAGCCTGATTGAATCCAGGCTACCTCATCTGTGTGGAGGACAACACTCTTTTGCCAATTTGTTTCCATTCTTTTCAAATTTTTAAGCATTATCTTCTGGGTTTGGATCAATACTACTTTAGGTTAGTTATGATGTCCTTCCTTACAATTCCCCTTATACTTTCAAAACCATAAGCAATATTTATACCTTGCACTAAAACACTATCTGGAACCATCAAAAACTTCAGATTTACCTATGAATGAGAAAAAAAAGAATTGCTGCTCATCAGCACTGTTTTGGTTTTAGGCTCTGAAAGATTTGCTCCTTTCCATTTTTGTCTTTCATAAACTTTCTTTTTGGCTTGATAAGAACAAAGCTGTCTTGATTCAGCAGGTTACAGCGTTGGTGGATAAGGGAAGAGCAACTGACATCATCTACCTGGACTTGTGCAAAGCATTTGACACTGTCCTGCAAGACATCCTTGTCGCTAAATTGGAGAGACATGGATTTGACGGATAGACCACTCAGTGGATAAGGAATTGGCTGGATAGTCACAGTCAAAGAGTTGTGGTCAACAGGTTGATGTTTGCCGATGACACCAAGCTGTGTTATGCGGTTGACACACTGGAGGGAAGGGATGCCACCCAGAGGGACCTTGACAGACTGGAGAGGTGGGCCTGGGCTGGGCGGAGAATGGATTGAGAGCAGCCCTGAGAAGAAGGACTTGGAGGTGCTGGTTGATGAGAAGCTCAACATGAGCTGGCAATGTGCGCTTGCAGCCCAGAAAGCGAACCGTATCCTGGGCTGCATCGAAAGAAGTGTGGCCAGCAGGTCAGGGAGGTGATTCTGCTCCTCTGCTCTCATGAGACCCCACCTGCAGTACTGCATTCAGCTCTGGAGTCCCCAACATAGAAGGACATGGACCTGTTGGAGCAGGTCCAGAGGAGGGCCAGGGATGATCAAAGGTCTGGAGCACCTCTCCTATGGAGACAGGCTGAGAGAGTTGGGGCTGTTCAGCCTGGAGAAGAGAAGATTCCAGGCAGATCTTCTAGCAGCCTTCCAGTACCCAAAGGAGGCCTAGAAGAAAGCTGGGGAGGGACTTTTTATAAGGGCATGTAGTGATAGGACAAGGGGCAATGGATTTAAACTGAAAGAGGGTAGATTTAGACTGGATATAAGAAAGGAATTCTTCACTCCGAGGGTGGTGAGGCGCTGGAAGAGGTTGCCGAGAGAAGTTGTCTGCCCCATCCCTAGAAGTGTTCAAGGCCACGCTGGGTGAGGCTTTGAGCAACCTGATCTAATGGAAGGTGTCCCTGCCCACAGCAAGGGGGTTGGAACTAGATGATCTTCAAGGTCCCTTCCAACCTAACCATTCTATGATTCCAGAGCTTTGGCCAGATGTGTTGTTTAGATCAGACTGTAGTCAGATAATACTTATCTACTGTTGTGAGGTCATTTTTTAATTATTCTTTTTTAACCTCACTCCCCTTCCCTTATTTGAAGGTCAAGAACACTCAAGCCTCTCAAAAGCCCACCACAACAAAGGGAACAAAAAAAAATGACAATAAAGGACTGTGATGTAGCACACAAGTAACAAGTAGTTTAAAGATTGCATGAAATATTCACGCTTTGATATACTAAACCACCTTTATTTTGTTTTTCTTGTTCTTGCACACCTTAGAAAATTACTGTTCATAACAGTTTTTTCTGTAATCATCATTGACAGACAACGTGGCTGACTCAGCATCTTTCCGCAATGAGCTTTTCATAGGCCCACTTGATTTTTAAAACTCCATTAGCTTTAGTCAACTGTTGCGAAGTTTAATACTTGGAAACTTAACAGAATGGATTTCAAATATCAAACTGAAGCAGTATTTTCACATCAAAGATGTAACTTTTACTAACCTCTCAGCAGTGTTATCAGAGAAACCAACCGGTGCTCCTGAAAGAGCTGTTCTAACTTAAAATGCAAATAATAGTCTGTGTACAGTTCCAATGTATTTTTGAAGAGAATTCTTCCTCCCATCAAGAGATGATGCAGCCAGTCAGGAATGTGGAAAACTACTCTACCTGCAAAGTTACAGTAACACACGTTTATAAGGCTCTCCTAATACCAATGATAAAGGAATCACTTACTCAAAAGGAAAAAAACACAAACAAAAAACCAGGCAAATAATATTTTAGTTTTGTTAGTGCAACACCAAAAAGATCAGTATTCCCCAGATTGCTTATCAAATACTTTGTTTAGGTGCTTTTATTAATTAGTTCCCAGAGTGCTCAAGCAGCATAGGCACATCTGAGAAAAGGGAAGGGATCTACTCCCATAAGCTCCTACTCTGAGATGCAGAAAGAGACATAACAAAATAACTGAGCAATAATGAATGATAAAATATGACATTTTAGCACAGCAATAAAGTCTTTTAAAGAATGACTGTGTTCCTAAGTTGTATATTGTTAAGCTTGCAAGTGCTGAATTATATATGAGTACTACAACAGAATTTTATTTCTTACCAAAGCACCTGAACTTCATATTTGTCAAGAAGTGTAGGAATAATTAAGAGAAATCACTTCTTACCAACATACATTAAGTAGTCATAGACTCCTTCTACCGTCATCATTTCCATGAAGTAGTTCTGATTTTGTCGTCTTTCTGTATTCTCAGACCGGTTTGCATTATTCTTGAATAAATCATTGAAAAGCTAAAAATAGAAACATAAGGCTGAAAACATGGCATTCAAAGGCCAAAGGATAGTCATCACTTCTTAGTTGTTTTTTTTGCCTTTTTTTTTTTTTTTATTAGAAGTAGCTTTTTTTCCAGAGCTTTCAAAGAAGTAATGAGTTCTTTCCAAAAAAAGCATGTTGCATGTTGCCAAGATACCTGACAATCAAAATACCTGGATTCAGAACAAATTGGCAGGGTGCCCAGGACATTAATTCACGAGCCCTTTTGCTCCTCATATCTTCATGTATCTAGACTTTTATCAGAGGCTTTGATTCCTTTGATGCACCCCATTCTGTCATTGAGGGGCACAAAGGATATGGAGTTTGCCAGCCTTAAATCACAGGGGAACTCTACAACATCCGAGTGTTCCTCACATTTCCTGTTGGCTTCAGTTTTGAAATAAATACAATGATTTGTGGATGCCCCATCCCTGGAAGTGTTCAAGGCCAGGTTGGATGAGGCTTCGAGCAACCTGACGTAGGTGTCCCTGCCCATGGCAGGGAGGCTGGAACTAGATGATCTTTAAGGTCCCTTCCAACCCTAACCATTCTATGATTCTATGAACACAGCCAACTTTTTACACAAAGAAAGCCCATTTTCCCCTGCCAGCTTGATTATTTATAGCAAAAACTTCATGAATCTTTGTAAAAGTTACCAAGGTTTGGGTTTCCTTCCATTCATCCCATTTCTCACTTTTTTCCTTTGTCCTTCTGTTTTCCCATGTTCACCCCTCACCACCACGATCCCTCCATTTCCTCACCTTTGGTTCTTCCCCAAAGATATCGTTATACTACTTGTAAAATCCCAAGATGCTCTTCCCTGCATCCCATAAGGAGTCCCATACCACCTAGGCAGTACTTCTTGCACCCCCCTCGCCCAAGTCTGTGGGCTCCAGCAGCTGGAAAGGAGTTCTCTGAATCCTGAGGGTCTCCACACCTAACAATACCCAGCAAACACCATTAACAGTTTATTTTAAGTTATCTTATCGCTAAAACTGTTGATCCAAAGATAAAAAAGTATGTATATGAAATACTCTGTTATGAAAAGAAAGTTCAAAAGTTTATGCCAAGCTTCTAAAAAAAAAAATATATCCCAGAACTAGAGGCAAATGCAGTGTAACTATAAGTGCTGCCTAGGATGAGGTGATTGCTACTGACACAGATTTTTCTGTATCACTCCCAAATTAAAAATAGTTCCAAGGAACAGGAAGTAATTTGCTTATATGTGGTTTGCTTTCTGTAGAGCAATTCTCCCTGAAATAAATAAGGCCACAAAACATCCAAATGACCACAGGCTCTGAATCATGCAAGTCTCTAAACAGAATGCTCTGCGCTCTTAGGAAAAATTACACCAGGAAATCTGGCAGGGCTCAGGTTTTGACCTGAACTTCTTTAGGCCCTCTCTCTTGTTAAGTGCTGAACTGCTGGCACTATCTTCACAAAGTTCACTCAAACTAAACAACACCAAGATATTACATAAACTACATGAGAGAGCAAATATGGTTAATGCACCGGTGGATGACTGGTATCCAGGAAAGTCACAATCCTAAAAAGAACACATAATTATTCACGCCTACTGTATGAAAGCATCCCTGGTATGTTGTTTAAAAAACCCGGTATAAACTGAAGTCTACATCCTTCTCAATACTGAAACCAGGACACTGAGAAAATCTTAGTTGAATTGTTGTAACTTAAACAAGAGCCTCATTTATTTTTTTAGCTACATACGCCCCACGAGCTGACAGAGGCGATACGTACTGAGCCAACTCAAAGCAGCCCGTTGCGCAACGTAGATATAGGCTCAGAGGAGTGTGTACGGGCCAAACTAAATCATTGACAACAGTTCAGTAGGTGATCTATAAAAAAATAAAACGTGAAGGCCATCTTAGGGCAAAGCTTTTTGACTTCCAAAAGTTGTTTCAACTGTCACCCCAAACCAGAGGCAGTATCTTTTGAATGCTGCATGTACCTCTACTCATGGATAATCTGTCTCACACCTTAAATATAACGGTTCCTTGATCATTGTCAAGCTTTGAAAGCTTAAGACTCTTGCACATGGCATTTCAGAAAGCAACAGCAGATCAATGCATGCCAAAATTACTGAGCCAACGAGCAGTTTTTATAAAGTATACACTTTGCACTATTCCAGTACAAGTGTGCATTTCACAAGTCATTAGAGATGCGTGTCTGAAGGATGCAGCAGCCATAACACAAAGTGGCATCACCTCTCTACTTAAATGCTTTGCACTTTCTGGGATTTTGGCTCAGAGGAGAGCCAAGTGAAAAACATACAACTGGCTATCTAATACAAAGGTTGAGATTACGTCCCTGCCCATGGCAGAGGGGCTGGAACTAGATGATCTTTAAGGTCACTTCCAACCCGAACCACTCCAGGACTATATCCACAATTCAGATAAGCATGGGATTTTGCCTTTAAATGTTTCTGTATATGTTAATATTTGAGACGTGATATAATGCTCACTGTTGTAATTAGACTAAAAAAAGACAAGCAAGACAAACGGCAATGCTATCATTATTCATATTGAAGATTAAACAGTAACTGTGATTATAACCATGAAACATTCTTAAAAGGCTTTCAGTTAAGAAATTTCATGTATTGGTACTGGTTAATAAGGAAAGCCAAGCTCTTGAAGCAAGTGAAAGCAAAAGGCCTGCATTAAGAAAAAGACCAAAGTAATCCCTTCTACAAGAGGCTATCTATTGTACCTCGGTGGGAAAAGCTAGCAAAGTAAGTATGAATGTTTGCATAAAGTGCCTAACAGAAAAAAGAAAATTACTCAACGGTTAGTGAGTGCATATGCAAATATACGCCCATACATTCCAGCATACGTGTGAAGCGTATAAAAGCAATACCATGATTATGAACAATATCCACAGCCGCAGGCATGAACCTCTGCACCGTTTTTCCTGCTCATTTGCAAAGTGCAGGTGACTATGCTGAAATGGTAAGAAGAAAGAATTCACATAGTGCCTGAACCACATCGGTTAGTGTACTGAAAGCAATCGTGTCTTCCTCCAAGTAACTATACATAAACATACATTATGCTGTCGGTGTTCCAAAAGCAGTTGTTACTGCTGTGGGCAGGTCATCGCAAGCCAGCAGAATGATGCCTTTGCAGGCATATTTTGCAAAGTCTGCATCAGCTGAGACGCCCTGACCTATTCTAGCAAGTCTGACAAAGCACTTTCAGAAGATGATCAAGCTGCTTGCAGACCTTCAGAACAGAAACATAGCTGCAAAAGCCAGAAATCCTGTTGGTGCCCCTAGGAAGCGGGAGCAGGGGTTTTTGTTCATTTGTTCGTTTTAATCAGGGCGGTTGGTAATCTAGCAGGATCTGCTACAGGATAAAACCCAATTGCTACTGGCTGTACTAAGGTTAACTACCCGCATTCATTATGCATTTGTAACTAGAAGTCTTTCCACTCATATTTAAAACATACAAACATATACATGCAGCACATCTTTTGGAGAAGTAGGCACATTTCTGATTGAACTCAAGCTTTCACCTGCCCTGACAGATTTTCAGGCATTTCTTCCTCAGCCTGTTAATGACAAGGTAGCGTGGGTGCACCCTATTCACAGCAACGGAGTTGGCAGCACAAGCACTGGGGAATGTGGACTGTGCTCTCAGCAGATTCCAACACGTTCATACCAGAATAAACTGATCTGCGTCAGACAAGGTAGATGGGAACACTGTGGTAATACAAGCATCAGCTGGTAATCGACTCTAGCATTTACCAAAAAATTCTGTGTTGAAGAACTTTCTTGCTATGAGATAACGTGCTCTTCTCACAGATGGGTACTCAAAGTGCCAGCCTTCCGTCTCTTCAGCTGCCTGCCACATCTCCTCACTGACTCTGTCCAGGTAGCTCACACAATCCTGGTACAGACATTTAGCATTCGCCTCTGTAACCCAGAGGTGCCAGGCTACTGCACAGCACTTATTGTCTTCATAAAGATGTTATGTGGCACAACAGAAGTGAAACTGTGGAACTGAACAACTGAAGACTACGTCATGTGTATTTGGGGGGTAAGGAGCAATGTTACCTCAGTCTACTTTTGGACTGAAAGCCCTTGGGCCTGCATTCCTAGACAGCGTTTTCCAGCTTAGTTTCATCTGAAATAAATTCTGTTAATAAGTTCTAAGACCGGTCCCTAGGACAAGAGAAAATGTTGTAAGCAGAGATGATCAGAAGATTTGCTTTCAAAAAGCATCACTGAAAACTGTCTTCCAAAGAAGGCACAAGGACGTCAACACATCATCAAGAGGGATGAATTTCACAACGTGAACAGGAAGACTCAGCAGAGTCCATAACACAGCACAACCTGGGTTATCAGATCTCCAATAATTACAGTTACCATGTGGGTAAGCGTGTGCGTACTGGCTAAACCGATAGATGGGAAATTGGAGAGAAAGCGGTCAGCACATGAATTCTTTATGCATACATGCCTCTGCTGGTCAAAATGGGTAGTATAATTTGAGCACAGATACCGAGCCTCTGATGGTAGAACTGTGCCGCAGCATCCCCCAAGGCAAAGTGTCTTGAGTGCTCATCATTAAATAATAATCATAGCTCTGCAGGAGATATACTCAAGTCTGAAACTTTCCATCCATTTACAGCAAACAGCTTCCCAAAACAAAACAGATTTCTGTTGGGAAAGAAAAAAGAAAATCTAAAACCAATTACTTAGTCATAAAACAGCTAACTAGAATAAAGTTGCTTAGAAAAACAGTGAACTCTCGCAACAGATAGTGAGAAGGAGTGGGGAGCTGGGGCTAGCCTCATCTTTTTTGCTTTCTGCGTAGGTACCTCCTGACAAAAGCATCTCCTGCAGGGTAATCAGCAGCAGGAGCAACAACTTTGACTTGGACTCTACAAACTTTTGTCTCCAATGGAGCGCATACACAGACAGTTGTGAAAAGGAGGTTTCCCTCACAATACTATTTCTGCAAATGACATTAGAAGACAGAATGCAGTAAAGATCTACGTTTTGTTTAAGGAAGTTTCAGTATTCCAAAATGAAAGCCAAAGTGCACCACCATGGTCAAAAAGAATTGGGAAAATCTCATTTCAAAGCCTGAATTTCTGTACACATGTTCTTTTACAAGAATAACATACAGGCACTTCAGAGAAGGAGTTTATATTTAAATTACCTAAGCAATGCTATATGCATTTTTTTATAACCTTTTACAATCCGAAATGGTTTTGAACACCACTTTAAAGAATTAATTTTGATCCTTTAATAAAGTTTTTCAAACAAACTACAGAAAGAACCCTATCTTCATAGGAATGCTTCAGAGCGCAAAGCTTGTTGCTTAAATATTTTATTTAAGTATGTTAAATGTATTAGAACTAACTTCAGCAGGTCTTGACAGAGCACAGTAAAAAAATTAACTGTTCATACTATGCTGTAGTATGCTGTCAGCTGTTTCATAAAAAACATTTGAAGTATTTATGCATGTACTGTTTCTAGCACAAGTCAAAAACTTCACAGCTGATTTTTAAAACTGCTGATACGTTAAGACCCCTCTGAATAGACAGCAAGAGCAAAATACGTTAACTTTGGAAAGAGCATCCAAGGTAAGAAAAGACTTGAAATGAAAGATACTAATATTGTGTGTATGCACATGTAAGTTGACACTAAAATATTGGCTGTAGTAATTCAGATTTCAGGCTTAGAAGATGAATTTAATATATTTAACTGCCGCTGTACTTAATCAGTATGAAAGTTTTGTAGCTGCAGTTTCTGTAAGTGTCATAATACTATAAAAATATCCATAGCAAAGGAAGTCAAAAGGTCTGTTTTTTCCAACAGCACATCACCAATAAGAACCATAAATGGATCCTCAGCCTCTAACTCTGGGAAGAAGAGAACAAGCATAGACAGTACTTTTCACCAATATTCTTCCAGACTCCAATTGTTTTCAAATAGAAAAAAGTTCAAGAGTTGGATGCAGCTTCTCTACAGGTATTCACTCTGAATATATTTCTGTTTTGTGAATTTGTCCAGTCTCACCTTGAAGTTGTTTATAGTATTCTGAACGTCTTTTGGTAAGGAGTAGGTAAGGTTCCACAAACCTACTAACCATTGCAAGAGCTAACATTTTTTCTTTTGAACCTGGCTCCTATCACCTTCATTTAACGCCTCTTAGGTTTTGCACTAGAAGAGAGAGGAAATAAAACCCAACCTTTATCCCCTGCTATCCTATGCATATATGCTTTAGAATATGCTATGCATTATTCTTTAGACTACCATATTCTCTAGTTTATTACTTTGCAAAATGAAGTGTCCCAGCTTACACAGCCCAGTTTCAACTCCTCTTGCCAAAGCAAACGAGACAGCAGAAAAGCATACAGTACTGAGCTTTCTTTTAGAATCTCTTACATGGCAAAGTGTATGCACATTAAATATTTTGTCCCAAATCACATCAACTCTTTAACACTGAGCTCAGGTCTCTGAAATCCAAGTCCAGAAACAATATTCTTCTGTAAATTCTACAAATACATTAACACTCTAAAGCACTCTAACACAGAAACATAAAGACCAGTGTCTTTTAAAGCCCCTGAAGCTAATGGAAGACTTCCAAGCAAGTTTTACCAGGCTCTAGTCACAAATATAGGAAGACTAAGAAAGGAACTACCTTATCCTGTAATCAAGTAAAAGGTTAAAATTGGAAGCGCTGGACTTTAACTGCGGCAACGTTAGAGAGAGAAACTATGCTTAAGTTATATAGTTAACCTATTATGTATGCCAGACACCAATGAACTGCACAGTAATGTTTTAAAGGTAGATAAACAGGTATCTGCACCTTGACAATTTTGACTTGTAGCAACTTGACAAGCCACACTTTCATCAAAAAGTCAAGCTCTTCACTTTGAAAAGGAAGCTCCCTTATGGCATTAAAATATTCTCCATTGTACACCTTTGCTTTCCCTTTTCTTTTCTTTGTACTTCCCAGGCTCTCTATTCTGTATCCTCATCTTCAAAGAGGATTCCAGTAAAAATTAAAAAAACAAGCAAACAACCACATCCACAAAATGCCAAAACAACAAAAAACCAACCCACAAGTCTCACAAGTCATTTAAACTAAGATATTTACAAGACAGAAGACAAAAAAAACCCTCTCTGCACTATTATTCTCTCTCTTGTGTGAAAAGACAACACAAAATAGGTAAACTGTTTGTTTTTTTTTTTTCTGTTTATTCTTTGTATTTTCAGACTATGGTCAATTTTCCCCACTCCTGTTAAGTGATGAAGGAAGATGACTTACTGTACCTTCTTGTTGTTTTCAGAAGTGGGACTCAAAATGGTAAGTTCAGGCCTACTTGGTTTAGGCTTGGGAGATTCACAGGAGTTGATAAAATTCATGATGAATGGCTCTAAATGCTGACCTTTCTGAAATAAAATATGAGTGACCTGTCACTTGCATAATTACAGAAAGAAAAACACAATAATGAGTTTCCAAACAAATTTTTGACTAGCCTATAAGTTACTAAGCACATAAAATTAGTTACTGAAGTTAAAATGTTACCATTCTGGAAGACTTACTCACCTCTTTCATCAGCTTTCCTGGAACAGATTTTATAATTTTACCTATAATGAGAAAAGAAAACCCAAACAAATAAAAACTTTCTGTTATCACTGCCTGATCTTAAAGACATTTTGCTCTGCTAATTATGTACTTGTTGTCTAGTATTTAAAAAATACAATAGTTTTTTTAATCTGTATTTCTTTTTTAATTTGGCATAAAAAGCTATGAAAATAAACCCTTCCAAATATCCAGCTTAAAACTAAATGCTTAGTACTCTTCAAGAAAAGATACTGAAAAATATATGAAAAATATACAGGCGATTATTGGAGACACTCTAAAAAATAAAAAGCTTTGTACTCTGCATCTTTGTAATTTTTCTAGAGGCTCAATAACACCATAACAGCAGTACTATATGACACCAGTACAGGCACAGTTTTCTGTATTTAAGGTCTTCATCCTTCGTAAGCATTTATCACAAAA